CGTGCGACCCTGTCGCTGGCAATACGCTGCGGGATACTCGGTTACCGAGCTTGAGCTGCGCTTCCCTTGAAGCCGCGGACGTGCTGTCCAAAGTTACACCGCGTGCAGGAGCCGAAGAGGGGCTTCGCCCACGATTGTCCTCAAACCAGCGAGGCTAGGTGTCTTACGTGTCCTCGACACAGGGGTCATTGAGCAGAGAATTTGTGAAGAAGGTCCTGGAGATGTTGTGGTGTCTTAGACACACGAGCCTCGTTCGAGGCGACAGTTGAATGTGAACTGTAGGTGTCCACACTCTTGATGGGTGAGAGTGTGACGGGTTTTCACCTGCCGTGATATGAAGGGTGTAGGGTCACACAATATGGTGTGGCTACACTTAAGCAAGAAGTCAGTTCATGGCCAGAACAGCCAGAAGTTATACATTTGAGTAGGATTTACTTTATGGATAGGAATTCCTATAGATATAGGCTTTGCTGAAAACAAAACCGATAATCTCAGTTTACGTTTTGTACGGAAGACTTGATTAGCCTTGGGTTGAGGTTGTAATTATTTTTGAAGTAAGTGGATTGCGATCCGCTACACTCGTACTGGTTCAAAGAATAAAACCAAGGTCATCGACTATTACCAAGCGAAAGAGCTACGGCAGTGTCTGTACTGCACAGAACAGTACATAATCCGTTACAGGCTACCGATGTGAGGATCCTTTAAGGGACATATACTAAGGAAGGCGCGACGCAGTGTGTGCTTGACGGGTGTTACATTTTGCCTAACGTCTCAAAGAGACAATAAGATTATGAGTTCCCGTCTGGTCCACATCACGGCGGGAGAGAGGTTATGTGGTACGTAGCGTACTTACACATTAAATTGTGCGAAGCACCAAAAATCCAATACTGACGAGGACGACGAGACTCCGAATAGCAGAGGCTTGCGCGTCACGAGGTCTGCTAGCCGCATATGATATGACGTTTAAATTTATTGTAAGACATAGTCAAATAGATGTTCACAGCATGTAAAATCAGACTTAATTGGGAATCTCGTAATAGAAGAGCAGCTAAATGCTCAATTGTCGTTGATGATCTCGGTCCCGCTCCTGGATGCAGCGTTTGAAACCAACATTTTAGCGTTGTCCACGCGGACTCCTTAAGTCCAAGCTTTCTAAATGCAAGGTGGATGGCAATTTCGTTGCTCTTGATAACACTAGTACTAGATCCAAGGTGGATGGCAACCTCGTTGCTCGTGATAGCACTGGTACTAGATCTCAGCAACTAGCCTCAACAAACTCGAATACATTTTTCGTCAGGAAGCCAAGGAAAAACGAATAATAAGTACACTTTATCAAAAATTCATATAACAAGATTTAATTTCTTTACAATGTCCTTCAATCATTTTTCCACCAATCAAGCTTCCTTAGAATGAGTGCTAATGACGTTGATATGGACGCCGAATTAGCGCAACTTTTGCTCGAGCAGGAGCAGTTTCTTAAGCAAAAGAAGCCACCAGCAGCGAAAGTGTCGCGTCGCGGTAGTGTACCCAGCGTTTTATCGCCAGAGAGCAAGAAAAATGCTTCTAAATTGGCTCCCGAAGAGGGTTTTCAGGTGCTGAAAAGCGTTGTAGAGCGTCAAGTGACGCCAGAAACTCACCGAAACCTTCAATTTGGCACTCAATTGACCGGATTTCCCGTCGCTACTCGACGTAGTCCCGGTCAAAGTCTTTTTGGTCGTAGACGCCGTGAAGCAAAGACTCAGGATCAAGAAGAAGAGACAAAGAAACACCATATGGACCCTGAAAGTCGAGATATTGATGCAGCGAATCGAGCCAAGTTGCAGGAAATGAGCACACAAGAGATTTTAGAGGCCCAGAAGGAGCTTTTAGGATCGTTAGATCCTGAATTGGTGAAGAAACTGAAGAATAGAAGGAAGAAGACGGAAAATATTGAAGAGGTGAGAAATGAAAGCTTTAAGACGCAGGTTACAATTGGGGAATCGATAGTAAAGAATGAAGATCGTGAGAAAGAAACACTTATCAAGAATTTAGCTGCTGTCAAGACGGAGAAAGAGCTGAAAGAACAAGAAAAGTTGCTCACTGTCGAGGAACGAGCGAAATTGGACTGGACGCAGTCGATTTCAAAGAATAGTCGAGTTTCGAGAAAGAGAGTTGCGCAGATCGCGAAGGAACCGACGATGGAACGGTTTGATCTTAATGGGAAGATTGTGGAAGCCACGAATGCCGACATACCCGTGCACTCTGGATTGTTTCATCATGGGGACGATCCCGAAATTGCAGGATATACATTTCCGGAATTGTTGCATCTTACACGCAGCTCTGTCGCCAGTCAGCGTGCCATGGCTTTAAATATAGTGGCCAAGGTCTTGCACAATCGACAGCTCCAGACCCTCGAACGTCGTCGCGTTTCACCGCAAGTATTGCCTCGAAATATAGTGTTGACGCTACGAATGGTTTTGGATGATCAGAACTATACGGCACTTAGTGCGGGCGTGTCTGCGCTTCATGCGTTCATTGTACCGCTTGAAGTCGCTGAAGATCACTCCTTTACGGAATTACCGTATGGAACAATACTTTTTCCGAACAAAGTTCACGTGCATCACAATGTAGTGGAAAAGCAGGGTAATAGATTTAAAAATGCTTTGAAAGAGGTCATCTACATTGATACGACGGAAAATGACGATGGAACGAGCATCAGTGATGAAGATTTGGCTTCGCTGGATCCCGTTCAAGCGCTTCTTCATATGAATTTGAGTACACGGCTTCGGTATATTCTTGAAACGATCCAATTGCCGGATCAAGATGCCACAGAAAAGATTCTTGATATTTTAATTACAGTAGCTCGTCACTCTCCACGTGCTGCACAAGAGATCAATTCAGACGCAAAACTTCTTCTTCTCTTGCAGCGTCAATTTATTGAAAATGAACAGATACTCACTTTTGAGTCCGACAACATTCAAGCGCTTCAGCTTTCTGTGAAAACGTTAAAACTTGTGCGAGTACTTTGTCAAGGTGAACGGAGTGTCGCGATGGCGCTACTTTCGAGTGGTTTAATTCAAAGCACAAAAGGATTCTTGGCGCTAAAAGAAGTCCCAACGGGAAATATTTGTGAAGCAACGAACTTACTGTTTCAAACTTTGCAAGTGGAAAGTCTTCGAATTTGGCGAATTCTTCTCGGTTACGGACTTGATTTTCACTGTTTTGCGTATCTATTCCCTGTTCTTTCAGACTTACTCCATCATTCCACCAATGCACAAAAACTGGCATTATTCAAAGCGTTAGAAGCTTTTTGTGCTTTAGAATTGAAGCATGAAGCGCAACATTATTTTAGTCAACTGAATTATTTCCTTGATGTAGCAAAAGATGAAGCTATCATGAATTTTCGATTCTTGTTGACAGCCTCAGAAGTGCTTAATTTGGATGTTACTATGCTCTTATCGTCAACGCTGAGATTTCTCACTATCGCGACCAACTATGCAGCAAAGTACAAGTTGGAGACAGCTGGAGTCGTACAAGTTTTGAAGCTCGTACAGTCCAGTGACGTGCTCAAGTTGCTTTCACGGCTGACTGAGACAATAGAGACCCGAGAGTTACTCGTAGCAATTGTCCGATTCTACATGCAAACTGTACACAACGATTATTTATACGATAACGTGGATGATCATGACGTGCGAACATTTTTGTGTCAAGTGGAAGAATCTTTGCTTATTGCAGCAACTAATGCTACTACGTCATCTTTTGAAATGAATGCTGTTTTAATACAAGCATGCGAACTTGTGGTTCTCGTAGAGGAGTTGGATATCATACATTTTACAGATGCGTTCGTACGAAAAATGTACCACCAAGCTTTGATTCTTGTACGACGACTGCGAAGTGGAGCAGAGTATTGGATAACGCAATTATTCGCTCAAGTCTTGTTTCACCCCAAATTTTTTCAAAGACTTGAAATCTTTTGTGATCAAGCAGAGGCCAACCGCATGAGTCATGTGCTTCTTCCCATTTACCAGGCTCTTCTCAACGCCACACGCAACCAAGAGACTCATTCGATGCAATTGTTCACACCCATTTCCAATATTCACAAGATTTCGTGTCATTTATATCTTCCTCAAGAAGAACAAAGTTATGTTGCTAGCAATCTACCCCTTCCCGATTTCTGGGTGATCTCTCCACTATCAAGTATCGACTATAACAGCAACGATGGGAATCAAACAGACACAACTCGATCTCAAGCACAAAGCAACGAGATGAAATTAATTGTTCAAACCACATGTCGCTTTGTATTAGAGTTGGAGCGATTGAAGACAATACTTCCTGCTTTCGTAAACTTGAGCTCCGAAGATATTTTGTTTCATCTCTTGTATATATTCTTTGCAGGTAGTGACATTCTCTTTGATGATTATGTGGATACTGCACTTCATCAATTGCTTCCAAAGCTCATTACACCAATCTATCAGTCAAACGAAAACTTACTTTTTACTGGATTTTTGAAAAATTTGAAATGGAATCAAGAGATTGAATCTCAAGATCAAGTTGCAACATCTTTTGCATCGGATGAACGGCAACTTTTGACATTTGTTGAAAAACTTGTTGCTGAATTTACAACAACATCATTTGGCAATTTCCACTTTGCACAATGTGTGACATTACTATTAACGGACGACTTTCCTGTCGACGTGCGTACATTTGTATGGAAAGAACTACACGAATCGCATCTTTTGCACACACTTGCACCTTTTAAAGACGCAAAGATTGAGATTTTAAAACGTTGCACTAGGACAAGTGACGTCAAACTTGTGCCAATCATGCAACAAATTGTGTGTACCACTCGTGTTTCACCTGTACGAGGAGCTTTTGTGTACACTGTAGCAATACACCAGTTGGTCATGTACTTATTTGCTCAAAATGATGGAAATACATTTGGTGTTGCACGGCAACAATTAATTCAGACTCTTTTAAACGAAGCGTCACCTACCATTTGGGGCCATCTCTTAAGCTACAATGTCGTCGACATCTCAATACTCAGTGAATCACATGACGTCATTCAAATCGAACGCGTGAAGAAACTTCGATCGCAAGCTTTGTTGTCTTCCGATCAGTTGCTTACATTTGACGCCACCATATCGTTACTATGCCACTAATTCAGCAAAAAATACCTTTTTGTTTACACTTGCACTGGCGTAATTCGTTTTCGTTTCTTTGCAATATTTAAGTCGGAATTTGTCTCTATTTTGGCATGTTTAAAGTAAAGCAAAGGACGAAGAGTGTCTTTGCTTGTATTAGCCAATCCACGATGCCATACACGATAATCCATGATGATGGGAGTTCCTGCTTGGATATGTGCAATAACACTAGGAAGATCTTGATAGTCTTCAAATGCTGTACCACGAGCTCCATTTTCGTGAATATGCGACCTTAATTTCATTTCAGTGCCTCCAATTTCATCATTTAGTGCTACAAGTGGCACAAACACATTCAGACGATCCACTAAAATTACACATATACCCAAATCAATTACCATTTATCATATCATAGAATTTACAACGACCATACCTGATTCTTGAATAGTTTTGTTGCGATGAATTCCATCCAAATGCCAATTTTGTGCCTCATCTCCAGGTTGGGATACAACACAGCCAATGTACTCAAGATGAAAGTTATGTGGTGAAAAAAGTTCCTTAAGTACAGGCTGCCAGCAAATAGCCATGTCCTTAAGTAATATCATGTCTACTAAAGACGACGATTGAGTCGAATATTTCATCAAAAAATTGGTTTCAATAGCCAAACTGCTTAACTGCATATCAATTCGACCACCTTCGCGCACGTAGAAGCCCGGAAGACGCTCAGCATGTTCGCGTAATGTCAAATCTAAATTCTGAGTGGCAGCTTCACTCAAATATATTGAGAACTGGTAAAGCACCTGAGTCCGAAGTTTCTGAATTACAGACAACGAGGATCCGTATGATGCATACGGCAGCGTAACAAAACCATCAGCATGGACAAGACGAGCGAGGTCTCGAGCTTTCATTATATTTAGCAAAGAAAATTAAGATAACAAATAATTGAGCAGATAAAGACCTGGAGAGAAATTTAAATATGCTCGTATTGGTGAACACAACATATATAATGCTGCAATACGTGATCATTCAACTCAAGACCGTACTTATACAGGATCATTTCTATAGTACCTTCTTTTCTACTT